CATACATTTCCTAACATATCATTTATTTGTACTCTTTTTTGTTACAGAATTTCAAATAATTGCTCAAATGACTGATGATATTAAAGATTATAATTATGTTTATGTTTTACCGCAATATATCAATAATTAATACTCTAATTGACAATTAATCCCAACTAATGAATATATTTAAAATTAATATATATTAAACACATTATCGTATAAATAGATTATAATTATTAGTTAATTACTGTAAAGCCTATGGTGTTTAGAAATCCTGATTAAGAATACAAGCAATGCTTTGTCATAATTTATAACTGTTTATAAATATTGAAATAGTCACAAGAATTATAAATATTATTATATAATTTAAATAGTGTTTGCAAATAATGTATAATCATTTAGAAAGTTGAGAAGACATCAAAATAAGTTACCTGTACATTAAAAATGTATTTTGTTATGTTTTGTTATTTATTATAATTAAATATAATACTGAATGTAATAAATACTAACTCGTAAGTACTGTTTAGAAATTTGTATATTTTCTTTCAAATGTAGTGTTCATTTGTTATCCCAGGCGTTAGTGACTTTCGAGGGAAGTTTGAGGTGATCTTCGAGTTGAACCAAATCGCAGCTTAGATTCCATAGTCTTTCAGCACTTTTATCATCCGTTCCGTTGGCCCATAAGGCGTCGCGAAGACAATTGCTATCAAAAAAAACAAACAATTCATAAAAATATCTCAATATTTAATATATAGTAATATATTATATATATTATAATACTTATAGAAAAATCCGGATTCATTGTCGAGACTTTCCTCGAGAGCGCAATACAGTGTTGTCTGACATCCTATATCAAGCTTTATGTAGAGTAAAGTTGTCAACAAATCATACAATGCTTTCCCGCTCTCCATATTCCTCGAGAGATCCGATTTAATAGTTCCCGGATGTAAGACATAAGTGGTGACAGTACTCGATAGGCCCAACCGTTTGGCCAGTTCTCGGATGAACAAAACACCGGACAGTTTGCTCTGTTTGTAGGCTTTCATTGTAGTGTAGGCGCCGTTTCGGAGGTTTATGTTTTCGAAATCGATTTTTGCCAGTTTATGTGTATTGGACGACACGGTTATAACCCTAGCTTTGGGTGACTTTTGCAACAGTGGTAACAGTGAGAGAGTCAGTAGAAAGTGACCTAAAATTAGAAATCAACCATTAATTGAAATATTGGACATTAACTTTCCTTGGGATAAATGATGATTAGATAGAATATTCTGTCAGTAAATATTTATTTTACGAATCAATATTATCTTATAAATTTTATCTAATTAAAATAAATACCTAGATGATTGGTTCCGAATTGCATTTCAAATCCATCTTTGGTCTGCCATTCAGGACACATCCCAATCCCCGCGTTATTGATAAGTATGTCTATATTGGACTCAATTTGTGACACATTCTTCGCAAACTCGCGAACCGATGCTAATGAAGACAAATCCAGTTTTATTGCAATTATGTTTGCCTTTGGATTCTTGGCTCGAATATCATCAATAGCACCGTTAGCTTTACTCATATCTCGACAGCCAATTATTATCTATTAATTAGGTATTTAAACTATCATTTTTTATAAGATTTTAATCTTAATTATAAATTCATACTTTTGCTCCTCGAAGTGACAGTTGAAGTGCAGTCTCTTTACCGATACCAGTGTTGGCACCGGTTATCACCACAACCTGACCATCAAGTTGTCGAGTGCTCTCACATTTATTCCTCAATCCAAACACATTTTGCGAGAATTCCTTGAGGACTGCACCCAAGAATTTGACATGGGACATATTATCACAAATATATTATACTCAAATCACTGATGAGTGAGCAACTTTATTAAAACTATTATATAAGAACACAAATCTTTTAAAACTTTAAAGAGATTATTTTAGATTTGATTTTCTATTACTAAATAATTATAGTTTTTACTAAACTTCAAGTTTAATATGAGGAAAACTTATTGTATTTAAGTATAACAGTGAGATTCATAAATGTCTTTTAAGACACGACTAAATATAATTTAGAAATTTTAATAAGTATTTACAGCTATTTTTAATATCATTAAGAATTATTGTATTGATTTGTACATTTATAATTTTTGTTATCAAAACAAAAGTAAAATACAGTTTACATTGAATTTTAGTGCAGTTCAGAACATACCGACGATTATATAGCATTTGAGTGCAAATGTCCTAAACTCATAGATTGTTGTTTTCAAAATGATTTTGAATTTTAGTTTTACATGTATGACAGATATTTAGATAATAGAGTAAAATAAAATTACAAAAATTTGTTTTATTTAAACTTACATTTTTCCATTTAAGCATACAATTTTAAGTTATACTGTATATTTAATTATAATCAACAATGAAGACAATTAGTGGTCAACTTTCCAAAGTAAACATTATATTATAATACTTTAAAACCTTATGATAACATTTGACAACTATTTGCGATCAGCAATCCTGAGATGATTTTCTAGTTTCACTAAATCTGCGCTCAAATCCCACAACAGTTTAGCGCTTTTATCATCCTTTCCGTTGTCCCACAACTCGTCGCGCCGGCAGTTACTGTCGAAAAGTAAATTAAAATCAATTATTTAAACCACAAACAAATCAACAAAAATATATTACTTATAGAAAAATCCGGATTCATTGTCGAGACTTTCCTCGAGAGCGCAATACAGCGTTGTCTGACATCCCATGTCTGGTCTTAAGTAGAATAAAGTGGTGAACATATCGTACACGGCTTTCCCACTCTCCATATTACGGGACACTTCAGTTTTGATAGTTCCCGGGTGTAAGACATATGTGTTGACAGTGCTGTTGGGACCCAACCTTCGGGCCAGTTCTCGTGTGAATAGTACATTGGACAGTTTGCTCTGAGTGTATGCCGTCAAACCATTATAGACACCGTTCCTTAGGTTTATGTTTTCAAAGTTAATTGTCGCTAATTTATGTGTATTGGACGACACCGTTATTACTCGAGCTTTGGGTGATTTTTGCAACAGTGGTAACAGTGATAGAGTCAGTAGAAA